AATAGAATTTTTAACATATAACCAGAAAAGATATTCAGGAAAAAAAAGGTTTAAAAAGAACGAAAAAAAGGTGTCATCTCGTAAGAAAATACTGATAATGAAAAATAAAGATGGGGGTGGATAAAGACTGGAAAGAGAAAAAATAACTTAATGAAAGGAAGGGAGAAAAGATATTGTCCAAACGCCACGACACCACGTGGCCAGGGAAAACAAATTACGCAGTTTTGTGGTTTGGCGGAGAGATAAAGAGAGGGAGAGAGAAGGGAGGTTTCATTAAGAAAGAGAAGAGGAGAGAGAGAGGCAGGGAGAGAGAAGGGAGGTTTCATTAAGAAAGAAAGAGAAAAGGAGAGAGAAAGAGAGGTAGTGATAAAGAGAGGGAGAGAGAAGGGAGATTTCATTAAGAAAGAAAGAGAGGGAGAGAGAAGGGAGGTTTAATTAAGAAAGAAAAAGAAAAGGAGAGAGAAAGAGAGGGAATGATAAAGAGAGGGAGAGAGAAGGGAGGTTTCATTAAGAAAGAAAGAGAAAAGGAGAGAGAGAGAGAGGGAGAGAGAAGGGAGGTTTCATTAAGAAAGAATGAGAAAAGGAGAGAGGGAGAGAGAAGGGAGGTTTCATTAAGAAAGAAAGAGAAAACGAAGAGAAAGAGAGGGAGAGAGAAGGGAGGTTTCATTAAGAAAGAGAAGAGGAGAGAGAAAGAGAGGGAGAGAGAAGGGAGGTTTCATTAAGAGAGAGAAATAGAGAGAGAGAGAGAGAGGGGGGGGGAGGGAGAGAGAGAGAGAGAGAGAGAGAGAGAGAGAGAGAGAGAGAGAGAGAGAGAGAGAGAGAGAGAGAGAGCGGGGGGACGGGAGGGAGAGGGAAGCAGAGTAGGGGTAAAACATGGCGGAAGTATATTCTGTGCATTAAATTATACTAAATAACTCTGTTATATATAATTTATCATCTTCAACATGGACAGTAAAAACTTTCTTCTATTTATTTAGTCAAGTCATATTTCTGTAGTCTGAGGTATAAAAGATCTTTCCCCAATTCAAATAATTTAAACTAGAGGCAGTGTGGAGAACAATCAATTATCTCTTTAATTTACTGATATATTTTGTATACATTGTTTTTTTTTTCTAAATCATGGCTGTCTCTTGGATAAAGTAGTTAGGCTTTAGTTTTTATTGATTTTTCTTATCGAAGTTGGGTGTCTAGATGAATGGTTACCTATATTATAAAATTACGGGTTATCTTGGATGATAAATAAAATAATAAATCAGTTACTGAGTTAAAGATCACAGTTATTACGCCATTTATATTATATATAAGTTCTTCGATGTCTGTAATGTGATACTTGATGCGTTTCTATAAACCTGAATTAACACTACAACGGAAAGAACAGACGAGTAGAAGTGAGAAAAAGATAAAACAATATAAACATGATAATAATAATGATAACGATAATGATAATAAAAGCAAACGGAATGAATGATAGAGAGAGAGAGAAACCTTAGAGTACGAGACAAAATCCTCCCAATAAAGATGCCTCATTAACTAATTAAACTAATGCTTATTAAATTAATGCTAAATGAAACAACAGAATCCAAAACATCTCCAAACAAACAAATTCTCTTCACCGGAGCTAAAAACTTACCCATCTAAGATCATTATTTCGTTGTTCTTGCGCCAGAAAGTGATGGGTTTGGGGTACGCCTCGACCTTACACGACAGGGCTAGGTCTGACCCCAGCGGCGACCCGACCAGCTGATTGGGTACTTGGATGGTTGGTTCGACTGCGGGGCAAAGCGATCAGGGGTTGTTAGCTTAATTAAAGGTGTAATTGGTCTGTGCGGATGGATAGTGGTGGTTATTGTGATGGTTGATAGTAATAATGACAGTGATTAGAGTGGTATGAGTGAGTGAAAATGAGAGTGAGAGAGAGAGTGTGTGAGTGAGAGTGAGAGTGAGCGTAAGCGTGAGAGTGAGAGTGAGAGTGAGAGTGAGAGCGAGAGAGAGAGAGAGAGAGAGAGAGCGAGAGAGAGAGAGAGAGAGAGAGCGAGAGAGAGAGAGAGAGAGAGAGAGAGAGAGAGAGAGAGAGAGAGAGAGAGAGAGATTATGGTGATGATCATAGTGGGAACAATTGTGTAGTGATAACGATATTAAAACGAAAATATAGTGTCAAGACTATTCGTTGCTGATATTGATAATTATGTTAATAGTAACGACGGCAATAATCACGATCGCCTTCATTACAAGCTTAATTAGATCCTTACATTATCAAAGCAATAGTGATAGTGATAGAGATATCGATGACAATAATTGAGAGTGATAATGATGGTACTGATAATGAAGACAATATTCATCATCATTATTACGAGAATATTAACGAAATGAATAATATTAAACAACAACACTACTGATGATGGTAATAATAATAACAATAGCAAGGATAATGGTATGAATGCTGTTAATAGTAAGAAGGATAATAATGATATTAGTATCACAACTACAAATAATAGTAATAAAACAGTAACGATGATAGTGATAACAATACGTGTGTTCTATGAGAATAAAGCATCTTCAGACTTACCTTTCCTATGAGTCTATGTTTTACAACTACACTACTACTGTACGTAACATTACACCACTTGCCGTATGTTCCACATTTATCTCACTCTCGCCTCTTCCTCTTCGGCTAAATCCCCTTACCCTTATTTCTCACTCTTTTCTCTTTCTTTATTCACATATTCCCTTCCTTATCTTTCATCAGGCTTTCCCATCTTTATTTTTTTTCATGTGCTCATTTGCATTATATTTTTCTTTCAATTTATATATATGGAAACATACCTTTATACCCAAAGGCTAATTGCATTATAAGTAAAAAAAGTCGTATATAAGGACAATCCAGAGCGGTTATAGGTGAAAATTAGGCATTAGCTTGTATGTGAATTGGCTATGGATAATCAAGATAAACTACCTTGCTCACTAGCTTTGCTTAGTGGCGGTGCATTCTGCGTTTTGACAGATAAGCATACGGTGTGTTATTGTGTGCCGATTGCTCTAATATCGTCTGACTTACCTCCCCTATTAATCTGGTTTTCATCTATACCTATACTACTACTGTACATCACTTGGCTTATGTTCTACACTTATATTATTTCACATGGTTGTGTTGAGTGTAGGTATGTATGGATGTTTATTGTCATGTTGCCCTTTATTAAGCTAGTTAACAAGTTTCAAAACGTAAACTTGATGTTTCTAAAATGACCGAGATTATTACATTTGATACGCCAGACCTATCATAGAGAAATGTGTTATTGTTGAGCACGTTAAGGTATCATCAAAAACTCAATGGAATATCAATGGAATAATAATGATGATGGTAATGATAATAACAATACTAAAATTAATGCTCAAAATAATGAAGGCACTAATGAAGACAGTGTTAATGATGATGATAATATTGATAATGACAATGAAAATGATAATAATGATAATAACAATAATAATGAAAATAATAATGATAATGATGGCAATAATAATAATGATAAAGATAATAATGATCATAATGATAACGATAATAATAGTAACAACAACAACAACAACAACAACAACCACAATAATAATAATAATAAAATATAATAATAATAATAATCATAATAATAATAATAATATTAATAATAATAATAATGATAATGATAATAACAATAGTAATGATAATGACAATAAAAATAAGAGTAATAATGATAATAATAATGACAGTTGTAATTAGGATAATAAAAATAATGATAATGATAGTGATAATGATGATAATGATAATAAATAATAATGATTATGATAATAACAATAACAATGATAATATGAAAATAATAATAATAGTAATATTGATAATGATAATAATGATAATAGTAATGATAATCATAACAATGATAGTGAGGATAAGTATAAGAATAAAAATAATAACAAAAACAATAATAGTATTAATAATAATAATAATACTGATAATAACTAATAATAACAATAATAGTAATAATGATAATAATAATAATGATAATAATGATAATAATAATAATGATAATAATAATAATAATAATGATAATAATAATAATAATAATAATAATAATAATAATAATAATAATAATAATAATAATAATAATAATAATAATAATAATAATAATAATAATAATAATAAACGTAATAATAATTATTATTATGATAGTGATAATAATATTATTATGAATAATAATAATAATGAAAATAATGATAATGATGGCAATAATAATAATGATAAAGATAATGATGATCATAACAATAACGATAATGATAGTAACAACAACAACAACAATGAAAAAAAAAAAATAATAATAATAATAACAATAATAATAACGATAATATTTATAATACCAACAACAACAACAGCAATAACAGTAATAATAATAATAACAATAAAATATGATAATAATAATAACAATAAAATATGATAATAATAATAATCATAATAATAATAATAATAATGATAATAATGATAATAATGGTAATGATAATGACAATAATAATAAGAGTAATAATGATAATAATAATGACAGTTGCAATTAGGATAATAAAAACAATGATAATGATAGTGATAATGATGATAATGATAATAATGATAATAATATAATAATGATAAATAATAACAATAAACGTAATAATAATAATAATTATGATAGTGATAATAATAATAGTAATGATGATAATAATACTGATAATAATAACGATCATAATAATAATAATAATAATAATAATAATAATAATGATAATAATAATAATAATAATAATAATAATAATAATAATAATAACAATAATAATAAAGATAATAATAATAATAATAATAATAATAAAAATATCAATAATAATAACAATAGTACGCATAAAATAATAATGATTATAAGAATAATGATGATATTGATAATGACAATAATAATTACATTAACAATAACGGTAAATAGCAATAAAAATTATAATGGTAATAATGATAATATTAA